TCTCTCATAAAAAAAACTCTATATTTTCCTAGTAAATTACAAATCTCATGGATCCCTCCCTAAACTTCTACTCGCAACTCCTCACCGATGAAGGATCGGCCTTATACCCGCCGTTCTACACAGACGTCGTAGAAGAAGGTCACCCCATCCATGAGTTCTCGCAATTGGCAACACAACAAGTGTCATCCCAAGAAACACCGACCACAAAGAAGAAGAATGTTTACACGCGGTTCGAAAATTGGACTGTCCACGAGGATAAGTTTCTCGTGTCTGCTTGGTTGAACACGAGCCAAGACGTCATTCAAGGTACGGTGCAACACAAAGATAAGTTTTGGCAAAGAGCTAACGACTACTTTATCCAATACTCCAACGAGCCACACACCAAACCAAATGATGCATCGTTAGCCAACGATTCAACTGTCGGTCAACAAGTTCTGCGGGTGTGTTGCTCAGATTGAAGGAAGACAAAGATGTGGTATGAGAATTATTGACCAGGTAAATATTTAACTTATATGCTTTTATGTAAACACCATAGCATCATATGTTTATTTATTGAAAATTTAACTCCTGTGTAGACTGCAAAAGTAAAAGAATTATACCAATCTCGTTATGGTAAGTCATTCGTGTTTGACCATTGCTGGGTTAAGTTGCGTCATCATCAAAAGTGGATCCAACAGATTGAAACTTACAATAAGATTTGATCACAGTCGAGAAGAACAACGAACTCTGATTCCTCACCAAACAATTCCTATCCAGCTACCCCCATCGAGTTGAACACTGACTCAAATGATGTTATAGCAAGGCCTGAAGGAAGGAAAGCGGCAAAGCTCAAGAGGAAACAAAATGTGGAAAGCTCTGAGTCTGCTAAGTCCATCATGGGAGAGGCTTTCACGTGGATGAAGCAAACCACCAATCAAAAAATAGAGCTAAAACAGAAGAAATAAGATGACGATATTATGAAGATGAATCTCTCAACACTCATTTCAGTTCAACGACAATACTTTAAAATGCGTCAGGCAGAGATATTGGAGAGGTGGATGTCTAAGGATTCTTCCTAATTATCATATATTATCTTGTATTAGATTTATGATTGTACTAGCAGTTAAAAATTTTGGCATTGAATGAATACAGCTACTTTATTGAAAATAAAATTGGCGTAGTACAACAACTCGAACAAGTTCGTCGAAATTACATTAGACATAAAGAAACTTAATCCTCGGCTATGGATCCCTTGAACTGCTACAGATGCTCGATCAAATCATTCTTTAGTGATTTGTGTGTTTGCGTGTTCCTGATCCGATGATGATTTTGGATGAACTCAGTTAGAGGCACATAAGAAAGTTCAACGACTGGTATCAAATCAACAAAGTCGAAGTTGTTGTCAAATTGACAATCTCGTTCATCTTCAACGATCATGTTATGCATTATGATGCAAGCTGTCATGATGTCTTTCAGCACACTATGTTGCCAGAAATGTGCTGGTCCATGAACAATCGCAAATCGAGCTTGCAACACGCCAAAAGCTCGCTCGTCATCTTTTCTTAGACTCTATTGTTGTTGAGCAAAATACTTATTCTTTTTTCCTCGAGGTGTTAGAATAGTCTTCACTAATATGAACCACTCTAGGTAAATCCCGTCGGCGAGATAGTATTCCATATTGTACTCATGCCCATTGACAGTATAGTTGCACGGTGAAGCTCTTCCCTTCGCAAGCTGTGCAAAAACCGGTGAACGATATAGAACATTGATGTCATTATGAGACCCCGACAGTCTAAAGAAGGCATGTCATATCCAAAGATCTTTGCTAGCTACAGCCTCCAAAATAATTGTAGGTTTATGAAAATGCCCAGTGTACATACCATGCCAAGCAGTTGGACAGTTCTTCCATGTCCAATGCATGCAGTCGATGCTCCCAAGCATACCAGGAAAACCTCGTTGTGAACATTTCTCAAGCAGGCGTGCAACGTCTTCATTAGTCGGTGAACGAATGTATTCCTCCCTAAAGAGATGTCGATAATCAATCAGACGAACCTCTTCAGACTCTCAATCGAAGTACTTTCACCGATCCGAACGTAGTCGTCAATGGAGTCAGCGGATGCTCCATATGTGAGCATCCGCATAGCTACAATAATCTTTTAAAGGTTAGATAGTCCCAACTGTCCAGCACCATTCCTCTTTTTGGACGAAGTACTTGTCATGTTCGACGATTGCGTTGTGGATTCGAAGCAATAATGAATGCGTCATTTTGAATCTTCAACGAAAATAATGAAGATGATAGGTTGGTGTGTCTGCAAAATAATCTTGGAACAACCGCTTGTGAGTTGTGGCCTTCCAGTCGGTTTCGATGGAGCACGACACGTCTTTTGTGTTGACGTGAAGTTCCAACTTTCTCTTGTTCTTCTTCCTCGACAACAACAGCTCCTATAAGAAAGAACATCTTCATCATTTCATCATCGCTTGAGCTAGATGAGCTAGACATTTTATTGTGGGAGATGATGGGTTGAGGTGAGAAGGCGTCGAATTTTATAGGAATCAGTTGGTTGACGGTCAAAGTACGTGATACCTCGAACTTCGTGCCCAACGGATAGGAACCTATCAGTTGTCAATGAAAGTGCATGCTCCCTCGAAGACCGTGTCTAACGGATATGAATCTGTCGATTGTTAGTGGAAATATAGGCAATATCGAAGACCGCGGGTCACCTCGAAGACTGTACCCAGTGGATAGGATTATGTTGGTTGTTTGAAAGTGTGCGCTTCCTCGAAGATCGTGTCTAATGGTTAGGAATCAAATAAAAGAGGTTTAAATATAATTGAAAGTAATGAGTAACAAAAATAAAATAGAAGATGGGTTTTTTTATATTGTTGGAGCTCCTAACTAGGAGTTTGTTGGAGATCAGCATTAGTTAGGAGGTCTCCTATGTGATGTGACATTGAAAATGGTGGGTCATGGTCTTGAGAGCTCTTGAGAGCTCTCCAACAAGAACTTCCAACTAGGAGCTTGTTGGAGATGCTCTTATTTTTAATTTATTCTTTTATTATTGATTCATTTCATTAAGATTTATTTAATTTAAACCATGTGTCAAACATATGGATAGAATTTAAAAATTCAAAAGGATTGAATAATGAAATTACATTTATGTACCAACTGAGTGATAATAGATTGTTTGCATCCTTAACAATAGAAAACAATGAATAATTTTATAAAAGAATTTTATTTGATATACAACATTGAGTTTCAATCAACCAATGCTACCTATATACAGATGACAGTAGACGACCTATTTTATCATAATAATCCAATATAAATGTTACTAAAATAGTAGCATCAATTTTTTGCTTTAGTCATACTTGTTTCTATCTCCTCAAAACAAATAATAGTCATGCAACAAACAGTAGAGATACTATAAATATCTCTCTTTATCATTGGATATTTTGAGCTTTAATGGTTCTAATTTTTTTCGAGCGGTAAGCTACTTATGCCTATTAGGAGCGTGAGATTTTCTGATTACATGTCTATGAAATTCATCGAATCAAAGTAAATTGTAAGATGCTAAAAAACTACGAAGATAGTATAGAGCAAGAATTTTTGAGAAAGCAAAGAACCAAAGATTCGTACTATTAAGATAACACTTCTATCATTGATAAAATCAATTGCAGATGAAACCAAAGGAGAAAAACCATGATACTATAACTAAAAAGAATTTCATATTTGTTTTTACAGATATGGATCAACTTTAATTGATATTTCTCCTGTAGAGTTCACTCTCAAATTGAGCTCCAATAAGTTTCTTATTAGAATGAAATTCAGATGTCGCATAGATCCATTGAAGCTGACTTATCACAGGTAAAAAACAATGACATATTGAACTATCGGCTCACCAAAGCTTCTTTTGAATCATTTGCTACCCGTGTTTTTTTAGTAAGCTGCCTGCATTTACGACTTGTCTCGATGCACAGCGACGGGAAGGGTATGCTAAGCAACCACTTGTTCTCCCTTCTTTACCACCTAAATTAAAGTTTTCAAGTATGAAGTTTAGTAATTGCTAGTCTAGGAAAGGTATTTTTGGCAGTAGTTAAAAAAATAAAGATATTATAAACACATTTTATCTATATTAGATCTATGAACAAATGACCATGTTAATGAAACACAATAACTGAGTGGCACAGAAGCACTTGGTCTGAAAATAGATAAAACGTGTACTGGGGCAAGCATGAAAAAGGAATTTTTTTTAATAAAAAAAGTGAAACAAGATGTATTCTACGACATAAATAGATGTAACAAACTTAACAGAAGACTCCCAAATGAACAGTTAGCAAAATCAACTACCACATTGTCTTTTGACATTACCAAGAGCTGGTGCCAACCCAGGTCTAGGTCCTGCTCCAGAACCCTATATAGAAGATAAAAAATGAGCAAGGTGTTGTTATGATAGAGAAAAAGAAATCAAAACAAATAAAAATCTATTTACAAGAAATTAAGCCTATATATGCAAGACTTACAAGAGGTCGTGGAGGAGTGCTAGCAATTTGTGATTGATGATACTTCAATATCATTCAACATCTTGCTTGAGAATTACAGATATCTAAACCTGCCATCAGCACAAAATTCCTCGTCAACAGGAACAATATGAGTTACCAAAATACCTTATCCTCACGAATAAAAAGGTCACAGAATATTCTTTTAAGTTATGAAAAATTAGGTTTGTCATCAAAACGTAGTGAACGGCAGTAGTGGAAGTTGGATGCAAATTATGTAGGATATCCATGACATAATGCCTGAAGATAGTATATCAATGTTGTCAAGATTATATATATATATATATATGAGAGAGAGAGAGAGAGAGAGAGAGAGAGAGAAAGAGAGAGAAATATGGGTATGCTTGGTACCAAGCACAAATTTTGTGCTTGGTAATGAGGTAGCACAATCCCCTCTACTCATTCAAATGGAGGACCACATTCACATGGGTTGAGAAGTGCATGAGGATATACAATCATTTGAATGAGTGGAGGGAATTATGTGACCTCACTACCAAGCACAATTTTTTTTGCTTGGTACCAAGCATACCCATTTTTCTCATATATATATATATATACACACACACACATAAACCTTCTCGATCTGCACTTGTGAAGAGTTCGATGCACTTTGCTACTTGCATAAGCTCCACATCTTCCCCCAAACTCATTTTCTTTATGTGGATAGAATTTCACAACGTTCTTCTTTGTCCGGTGGTGGCAGCGTACAACACCTAAGACATAATGAAAATGTACATCACCATAGGTTATTTGTTGAAAATACAAATTTTTTGTACAGTCTAGACATCAATAATTTTATAGATTAAGCTTGCTAATGTTTCAATTGATTTAATTGTAGTTAGATCCCTTGTACTATTGCCTAATCGCAAATAAATATCCTATAGTAAATTTTTGACTCTTTTACAATCTAAATATCTATTTGTCCAAAGAAAAATAAAAAATAAAAAATGCTTATTTTTGAAGGTAAAAGCGTCAAAAATAGTTTTAGTTAGGAGGTCTACCTGCAGAAAGAAAAAGTCTAAGGACATTCGCCTTTATGGATTGTCTTCGGACACTCACCCTAAAAGTAAAAGGGTGGGGTGTGGTTTAGTTTTCTAATAGGCTTAAATTGGGGTTAGGTTGGGCTTTACCACACGTGGTGACCTAATGATGCAAGTCATAGCAACACTCACATTGCGCGAGTATCGTTAGAATTCCTACTACAACAATAGTCTACAAGGGGTCCATCCAAAATTTACTGATAATATATGGTGTATATCTGCAAGTAACCCTATTAAAATTGGAAAGAGATCATTGATTTTAGGAAATTAAATGGATGAAGTGCACACTTTATTGTGTTGTAAATAGGGGGCATATTCATAAAGAACCATGAGAGAGAGAGAGAGAGAGAGAGAGAGAGAGAGAGAGGAGGTAATGAGAGAAATTAGAGGAAATCAAGGGGAGACTCACTTGCTATTCTTTTTTCTATATCGATCTGTCGTTAACTAATGAGTGCCCGTAGTTATTCGTTAAAAAAATTGATCCTGCTTTGATGAAAGAAAATAAACCAAGAACATTCTGAAACTTTTGAACTAAAAGGCTAAATTGCATAAGTCATACTTTTAGTTAACATTAATTCAACTATTAGCATGTGACCATGTAAGATGAATACATACCAAATCAAAGTGTCTAGGATGCTTGAATGCCTATGGATGATGTGCAGCAACCAATACAATAATTCCCTACATATCAACGGGGTCTTTAGAACAAAATTGGTCAAAGACAGTTCATAATTAACAATTTTCTTGCTTCCTAATTAAGAAAATAAATGAGATGAGGTTTACTGTTGTCTGCTCTAGGCCATCCATTTCAGCCAGTAGCGTTAACGATAGTCTCTCCCAAATATAAATATTACCACTTGAATCCCTACCGTGACCCTATTTATAGGAAATATCAATAATGTTCAATAAATGTACAAATATGTCCTAGTCAATTAAAGTACTATCACATTACCAAGAAACTTAACATGAAAAAAAAATCCACCTTGAAAGCTAAATAATACACTTGAAAGCCAACAATAGTACATTTATACTCGAGGAAAAACATAGATCCCTAAACATTTCTCCCCTTGGTGTTCATATAATAAACTTGAAACCAATAATAATACATTTATACTCCATGAAAAAAAATCTTCATTTCACCTAAAAAGTGAAGAAAGAAAATACATTAGGCAAAAAATCAAAACCTCACTCCACTGTAGGCACTACAAATCAACTGAATCATGACAAGATGACAGCTTTTTCAATGTAATCTTGTGTTATACTTGGTCTAGAGGTGTTATTTCCACCCGTGTAAGGCAACTTCAACATAGGTTCAACACTTGCTACTATCAAGAAATGAATCGCAGTCAACAATGAAACTGTAGCAAAAAGAATTTCAGCAAGAAGAGGAATGGAAATGGAACGAGCGAAAAAGAACTGACCTTTTGAATGCTCTTTGAGAGAGAAAAGTCGGAAGCATGCACCAAACAATAGAGAATCTCAATTAAGTAAAAATGTTGGATTCACATTAAAATTTCAATCATCATACAAATCAAATTGTGAGTAATTGAAACTTAAAGTGTTTAAGAAAACTAAATTATTACAATCGAATCAAAACATATCTAAAGAACAACAAAAAATTTAAAATCAAATGAAATAGGAGGTGGTCAATTACCTTATCACAGCTTTCAAATAGGGTTGACGCCGGGGCGTTTCTTCTCAAGAAATATGATTGTCTACAATGGCTTCGGACATAGTTTTATTATAGAAAAAGGAAGTGAGAGTTATGTTAATATTTTGAACAGAAGTTGTAAGGTTGGAAATGATTTTCATTTGGAAGAAGAATTGAATTGGCGGAATAAATAAAAAAAGAAGAAAGAATGGGAAGCTCGTTGCGGAAAAAGAATTTGAAGCGGTGACAAAAAATGAGAGAGGGAGCTAGGTGCAGTGAAAGAACTGATTGTTAGCTATTATGAACAGTCAACCTTCTATTTTAACATTAATCTCTAATTATGATTACAACCGGGCAATTTAATAAGAAAAGATGGTACATTAGTATATATAAGAGAAGATAAATGGTCACATTTAATCCACCCTATAACCAACAATTGTGTACAATTAATTTAATAATTAAATAATATTTCTTCATGAATCATTCTTCTTAATAAAATTAAATAAAGAAAGGATAACTTTGTTAAATTAATGAAAGATGAAGGGTATTTTGGGTTAGAAAAAGTTTTTCTAGTACTCTCTCTTTTAAAGGGTGAATGATAAAAAAAATTTCATATCATGCAAAGATCCCTAGGCAATATGAGTGGTTAAAAAGTTTGGTGGATAACTTTTTGCTATCCACTTAAGTTGACACAAGTTTTGCTCTTATAGAGGTGATCTTATGTCAACTTAAGTGGACACTAAGCCTTTGTCCACCAAAATTTCTATCCACACATTTATATATATAAAAAGACTCTTCATATCATATAAGGATTCCTAGGCAACATGAGTGGATAGAAACTTTAGTGGACCATCCACTTAAGTTGACATTTATATATATACGGTGGCTAGCTTGCATGAGCGTTCATGTCCGGACCTCGTGCTGTGCGGTCCACCAAACATGGAATTTGGATTCTGTGGACCTCGCGCTGTGCAGTCCCCCAAACATGCACCAAATAAAATTAGAGAAGCAGCAGCCTACCGGGAACATGACACGATAAACTCCACTTATTGGCTTGGCGGAGTCAAATTGTTGCATCACAGCTTTACAATAAACTCATCAGTGTTGTAAGTTTACGTGATAATAGCGAGCATGAGTTCAGGTTCGTGTATATTAACATCGCTACACCATAAACGGCATGATTACACATTCACTCTCCAGGTTGCTTTATAGTTTCATTATTATTTGCCAGTACATATCTCTATATAACTTACTGCAATCATAAGCATTAAGGGAGAAAAAGGTATATCATCGAATTATTTATATATAAATTACTACGATAAATTTGAGAGCAGATATACAAATGCAGACAGACGCGTTATCTTGATAAATCATACGCATAAGTTAACACCATCACAATGCAACAAACCTTGAGTTAAGGTTTTGTACAAACCTATGACCTTACTTTAGCTAGTCTTGCTCTAATCTCATCTAGTTCTCCCTCATCATCTCCTTCAGCAACAGCTTCTGCCTGCAGAGCACGACGAGATGAATCTTTTTTCTCTTATCTGTTCTCAAGAATGCTAGCAAATTAAAAAGGAAATTTAACAGTCATTCAAAATACCTCTGTGCTGGTTCTTTGGCTTGCTGAAGGTTGCTTTATCCTCTCCTTTCTAACAGCATCAGGGAGCTGTGACATGGTCTCGCCTGCTAATGCAGCAAGCACTTTTTCGACCTCTACTTCCGTTTCCTCCTCAATCTCTTCAGAGTCCAAAGCTGAGTCAACGGCATCATTCACCATTTCTTCAATCACCCCTGCCTATAAAATTGAAAATAGGACAAGGAAGATTGATATATTTGATAGAAACTTAGAAGAGGATCACGCAATTAAAATACATGTGAATTTGAACAGAAAAGAAATTCAAATAGCTCTTGGTGAAATTCAAATAATTGATAATGCTTTTAATAGTGGATGATATCCGATACATGTATATGATGGACAAAGTGATGAAAAACAACATTTTCAAGCAAAGAGGGCAACGTCCACTGGGAATCTGATATGAAAAGGAGAAGGCAACGTCCACTTGGAAACTTGCATAGGAATTTTCTTCTTATTTGTAATCAGTAGAAACTATCACCAGCAAATTTATGTCCGCGTAGAATAATTAGATGATCATGTAAATCACAATAGCTAAGACGCATAAGCACAACACCTTTCTTTAACATATTCTAGGTAAAAGTGAGTTAAACCAAAAGAAAATACTGTTTGAAATGTCAAGGATTTTCAGAATCCTTGCAGACCAAGCTGAATAACAAAATAGCAAAAATAGGAATAAAACGGCAGTGGTTGCAAGGTGGTTCGCAAGCTGAGAGAGATAACCCATGGGAACAAAGCTCTGATAAAAGAAGATTGGGATGAAAGAAGTGGGTGCAAAGAGGAGGTCTAACTATCAAGAAGTGGAGGCTTCATCTTGAAACCCATCTTGATTCAACATCCATCTCCCTGATTCCTGAATTTCTGATCTTCAAAATCCATCTTTCAAGAACTATCAGGATAATCTTCTCATATATCGGTGATGTTGGGGAATTCGAAACAATCAATCGAACCCTTGCCCTTCCGGACATTGTGTTGAAAGTAGGAAAGTAGGAATAAACCACAAATAAAGATCTAACCTTGTAAAAAACAGTAAAAGAAACGAACACACAGATTTAACGAGGTTCGGCAACGTGCCTACGTCCTCGGGAGCCACACCACACAATCTTTCTATTAATTGAAGAAGAAAATACAAGCTCTCAAACAAGGGGTAAATCTCTCTGAGATTCTCTCTCTTTGCAGTCAAAAAGCTCTCTTTTTGATGTCTAACAAACCCTAAAAACGTTTGGGTATTTATAGAATCCTGAAACAAAACAGAGTCCCAAACAGTTTAGGAAACTGTCTGGGCGATTCGCGGTCGACCGCCGTGCCAAGGCCGGTCGACCGGCCAGAGAAAAATCTGTTTACAGGGTCCTGTGCACATTTGCGGTCGACCGCAGCGGCCACGCCGGTCGACCGACCAGAGCGAAAACTTCTTCTCAGTCTCCTGCAGTGCACGCGGTCGACCGGCTCTGCCACTGCGGTCGACCGCACAGTCTTCTGACTGTTTTCTTCGTCTTTTCGATTGCAGCTTTGGGTCTACACACTTAGACTAACAATCTCCCACTTGGAGACCAAAGCGTCATCAACGAGCTCACCCGAACTCTCCCCTTCTTCGCATGTATCTTTTTTTTTTCTGAAAAAATTCTTTCTTCAATCAACATCCCGACTATCGCGCCGATCCTCGTAGTGTGGCTCCGCCTTCGTCTTCTACTCGTGAAGGCCAACTGAAGTTGCGCACAACTCCAGTTTCTCAATAGTGACTGCCTTCGTCAACATGTCCGCCGTATTTTGACTCCCCAAAATCTTCATTAAATGCAACTTTCCGTCCTCGATCAGCGAGCGTATAAAATGGTATTTAACGTCGATGTGCTTCGTTCTGGCATGATATACTGGATTCTTGGCAAGATGTATAGCGCTCTGGCTATCACAATAAAGAACTCCTCTCCCTTGCTTCAGATCCAACTCTTCCAAACACCCGTTCAACCAGATCGTCTCCTTGCTTGCTTCAGTCATCGCGACATACTCAGCCTCGGTTATAGACAAAGTCACAATCTTCTGCAGTCGTGAGACCCAGCTCACTGCTGTCGACGCTAAGGTATAAACATACCCCGTGGTGCTTCGCCTCGTATCATGATCACCGGCGAAGTCCGCATCCACGTATCCTTGCAGTACCAACTCCTTCCTCCTGAAACATAGTGGCTTGTTCGTTGTTCCCCTCAAGTACCGCATTATCCACTTCACGGCCTCCCAATGCTGCTTCCCTGGATTGCACTGCATGGGCGATGTCCGGCCTTGTGCAAACCATCGCGTACATGAGACTCCCAATGGCTGAAGAATATGGCACCCTGCTCATATGCTCTCTATCTGCATCTGTTTTAGGCGATTGCTCCTCGGATAACTTGAACTGACTTCCAAGGGGTGTGCTAACAACTTTAGCATTCTGCATGTTGAACCTCTGAAGTACCTTCTCAATGTATTCAGCTTGGCTCAAACTCAATGTCCCTTCAGCTTCATCCCTACTGATTCGCATCCCTAGAATCTGCTTCGCTGCACCCAGATCCTTCATTGCAAATTCCTTTGCTAGCTGCCTCTTCAAACTGTTTATCTCTTCTAAACACGGTCCTGCTACCAACATGTCATCAACATATAATAACAAAATAATGAAGCTGGACTCGAACCTTTTGAAAAAGCAGCAATGATCTGAATTGCATCTTCTGTAGCCATTGTTCTGCATGAAGTTATCAAACTTCTTATACCACTGTCTCGGAGCCTGTTTCAAACCATATAAGCTCTTCTTGAGCTTGCACACCATCTCTTCCTTTCCTTCTTCAATGAAGCCAACAGGCTGCTTCATGTAGATTTCTTCATCCAAGTCACCATGAAGAAAGGCAGTCTTCACATCTAACTGCTCAAGGAAGAGGTCTTCTGCAGCTACCAAACTCAACACCACTCTGATGGTTGTGAGTTTCACAACAGGGGAAAATATCTCCGTGTAGTCCACTCCTTCCCGCTGTTGAAACCCTTTCACTACTAATCTGGCCTTGAATCTCTTGCTTCCATCACTCTCCTGCTTGACCCGGTAGACCCATTTATTGTGCAAGGCTTTCTTCTGTGCAGGTAGCTGGGCTAACTCCCATGTCTCATTAGTGAGTAGAGAATCCATCTCCTCCTGCATCGCATGCTCCCACTGCTGAGATTCACTCACTTGCACTGCCTCTTCATAACACTCCGGCTCTCCGCTATCTGTTAAGAGTAGATAATCAAGTGACGAGAGGTATTTGGGATTTGGTTTGGGTACCCTAGATGACCTCCTAGGCTCCACGCCCTGGGTAGTAGCTTCTGCACCTGTAGTCTCCTCCGTTCTACGGTCAGAACTGACATCGTCGCCCCCATCTGGAAGTTCCTCCAAATCCATGTACTCGGATCCACCTGTATCCGTAGTGCTGCTCCCACTGCTTTGGCTATCCTTGGCATTGTCCCTGTCCTTGTACATCACCTCCTCATTGAATATCACATCCCGGCTCCTGATGATCTTCCTGTTCTTCTCATCCCAAAGGCGATACCCGAACTCATCAATGCCGTATCCAATGAATGTGCACTTCTGTGACTTAGCTTCTAGCTTGTCCCTGACATGGTCACTGATATGAACATAAGCCACGCAACCAAATACCCGCAAGTGTGAGAGATTTATCTTCTTTCCACTCCAAACCTCCTCTGGAATCCCAAAATCTAATGGAACTGATGGCCCGTGATTAATAAGGTATGCTGCCGTATGCACCGCATCCGCCCAAAATGTCTTAGGCAGACCTGCATGTAATCGCATGCTCCGCGCACGCTCTGTCAAGGTCCTGTTCATCCTCTCTGCAATGCCGTTCTGCTGCGGCGTCCCTGGAGTAGTCCTCTCTAAGCGAATCCCATTCGTAGCACAGAACCTCTTGAACTCCTCCAGCTCGTATTCTCCACCATTATCTGATCTCAAGCACTTCACCTTCAGATCTGTCTCGTTCTCGACCATGGCCTTCCACTTCTTGAAGATCTCGAACACCTCTGACTTGTGCTTCATGAAGTAAACCCACACCTTCCTCGAGTGATCGTCGATAAAGGTGACGTAGTATCTCGAACCGCCAAAAGAAGACACACTGGCTGGGCCCCATACATCTGTATGAATCAACTCTAGCTTCTGAGCCTTAGGTGGCCTTCCACCCTTCTGGAAACTAACCCTCTTCTGCTTCCCAAAGATGCAGTCTTCACAAACCCCGACTTCCACGGTGTCGATCCCGGTTAGCTTTCCTTGTGAATGTAGAATTTTCATCCCTTTCTCGCTCATGTGCCCCAGCCTATTGTGCCACAGATCTGTACTCTCCTTGCCAGCTGCAATTGCGAGGGTGTCACTCGCATGTGAAGTGAGGTAGAGAGTTCCCGTTTTATTGCCTCGGGCAACAATCATCGTACCGTTGGAGATTCTCCACGAATCCCCGGTGAATGTCGAAACGTAGCCTTCTGCTCCAAGCTGTCCCACCGAAACAAGATTCCTCTTCAGCTTCGGCACGTGTCTCACGTTCTTCAAATTCCACTTAGAGCCCTTTATCTGTATCTGAACGTCGCCCTTTCCAACAATATTGCAAGGTTCATTATCCCCCAAGTATACTTTACCAAAGTCCCCTGCTACATAGTTCTGAAGTAGTTTCCTATTAGCAGTGGCGTGGAAAGAAGCTCCTGAGTCGATGACCCAAGAATCAGAATCGCTATCCATAGCAAGGATCAAGGCATCCTGCACGATATGAGCCTCCTGCTCACCCGCATCCTTCTTTGGTGCTTTACAGACCGAAGACATATGGCCCTCCTGGCCGCAGTTCCAACACTTCCCTTTGATAGACCTAACCTTCGAGTTCGGCCTCTTCTTCACTGATTTCGACCGATTCCTGTTCTGGTTCCCTTTCTTCTGGCTTCTGCCTCTCTGCTCGAAACTTAGGGCTGAACCTGAACCTTCTGATTCGGACGATTTCCTTCTAACCTCCTCGGATAGAATCATGCTAACAACCTCATTCAGCTTCAACTTCTCTTTCCCCGCCGAATTGCTGATTGCCGTCACACAACCTGCCCAACTATCCGGCAACTGCGATAGAATCAATAGGGCTTGCACTTCGTCATCAAACGTGATGTCCACGGAGATAAGCTGATCACAGTCCTTCTGGTACAGATAGTCCTCCATCTGCGACTTCCAGTAGGCGAAATCCGATCCGTCGAACTTCTCAATCTTTGATTTGCTTTCCTCTGCCATGGCTTTCACACAAATTGCTGAACGAAGCTCTGATACCAGTTGTTGGGGATTCGAAACAATCAATCGAACCCTTGCCCTTCCGGACCTTGTGTTGAAAGTAGGAAAGTAGGAATAAAACCACAAATAAAGATCTAACTTGCAAAAACAGTAAGGGAGATGAACACACAGATTTAACGAGGTTCGGCAACGTGCCTACGTCCTCGGGAGCCACACCACACAATCTTTTTATTAATTGAAGAAGAAAATACAAGCTCTCAAACAAGGGGTAAATCTCTCTGAGATTCTCTCTCTCTTTGCAGTCAAAAAGCTCTCTTTTTGATGTATACAAACCCTAAAATCGTTTGGGGGTATATATAGAATCCTGGTTGAAACAGATTCCTAAACAGATCAGGAAACTGTCTGGGCGATTCGCGGTCGACCGCCGTGCCAAGGCCGGTCGACCGGCCAGAGAAAAATCTGTTTACAGGGTCCTGTGCACATTTGCGGTCGACCGCAGCGGCCACGCCGGTCGACCGACCAGAGCGAAAACTTCTTCTCAGTCTCCTGCAGTGCACGCGGTCGACCGGCTCTGCCACTGCGGTCGACCGCACAGTCTTCTGACTGTTTTCTTCGTCTTTTCGATTGCAGCTTTGGGTCTACACACTTAGACTAACAGGTGATGCTAATTTGATCAATGGAGAAAAGAATGGAACCATACGAAATAGCATAGACCACTAGTTGAGTAGTGAGGATATGAGAATCAAATATCGTTGCTAAAGGGAGAAAAAATGAATTGGCTGTACTACTAGCGCATATCATAAATTTGATTTATAAACAGTATAATATCAAGAGAAGTTCCTACATGCTATACCAGGTCTTTGAGAAATATATGCATGTAAAGCCACTTCAATTTCATATTTCCACAAGAAAGGCTTGCAACAAAGCTTCAATAAAGGTATAAAGACTGTCATTTAAGTCTGAAAAGAGTATGAGCAGCCGCAAATTGTTACTGCTAAGAATTCTTTCAGAAATGCCATAGAAACCATATTGAAGTTTTGATTTCACATAAGTTTCTCCAGAAGAGAAATTTTGAAAACCTCTCGAAGGTGGTAAGCTTTCCATGTAAAGATATTAAATCTCAATATTCAGTGATTTCAATGAAACCAAAAAAAAAGTACCCTGGATATTTCTTCATCTAAGAAGCTCCATACTATCTCAGATAAAGAAAGATAATGTGTTCGAACATCTACAATGAGGGATATATGGGAAAGTCATAAACATAAATAGTAGACAGTGGCGGTGCAATGATGAATGAATAGAACTTATTGTTTTTACTTTTTACAATGTGAATTGAATAAACCCTCTCAAAAGTCAAATTAAAATTGACAAAATCAAGCCCATACTGAATTCTTAAGCAAATTGAAGTAAATGAAATCAATACATCAAATGAATTACCTTAGTCATTTCCTTGCTGAACTCCTGCATGGTGGCAGCAACTTCTGGAGCTTTCATAAGATTATTAACAAGTTTCATAACCTCTGCACTCTTGGACAAATGGCCAACAGTTCTAGCAGTTGCTGGAAACGAAAACCATATGCAAGAAGATTAAAAAGGAAACTTTCCAAAATGAGCCTAAAAATCAATAACGTAGGTATCTCGCTGAATATGCAACATGACACACAGTAGGTGTTATTATATCAGATCAACCTTCATCACATAACAAGCCAGCTATACTAAAGTGAAATCTCAAATGTCGCCGGTCATTGGGAGTTAAGGAAAGAAAACTAGACACACAAAAGTTTAAAAGACATAAACTTAAAATGTTTTATTTATGAGTGGTGCTAGATGCATTAAGAATATTAAACTACTTTGATACTACAAGCAACAAGACATATATATGAAGGGGCCTCTAACGTGAATTGCAATCAGGGCCCATGTATATCTATTTTTCAAAAACTAGTATAGTGCATGTGCTTTACACGTGGGCATACTTGTGAAATAATTAGTAATATCTTTTTTATCAAAATGAAAATCAAAATTTTGTAGCTAATATTAATAAATGTGATATTTCGGTAGTTATTCTTTTAATAAATCTTAAATACTTTTTTAGATGGCACTTGGTTCTTGCTAGGAAGTTCAGACAAAAAGCCTAAACATGATGCCCGCGATGCCCATTAATCCTCAAGTTCAATATTTTTAAATTAAAAATATAATGATAGCTACACTACTTCATTTATATTATTTCTCCATTACAAAAGAGAAATTTTAGTGTCCTACAGTTACTAAGAGACATGCATTATTGAAAGATGCACTTTATGCTATCAAAGATTTTAAAAAAAAGATAAATCTTTTATCTTTTGTGTTGTCAACAATATTAGTTTGACTTGAAGGGTTCATGCACCTTATGATAAATACAATATTAATATGTTTAATTATATAAAATAAAATTTTTTTGTAGATTTTATTTGTAATTTGTTTAATACTATTTTAAAATAATTTTTTATGAACTATTATTTTATATGTTATATTATTATTTATCAATGTATGTTTTTTATTTGTCGTAAAACAGTCATATTATATAGTTTATATATGTGTATGTGTATATAACCATCAAATTTATATACACTCAATTTTATACAACTAACACACAAATTTAAAAATAATTGCAAAAGAAGAAAACAAATGAGGGAAGAATCTTGAATTGAGTAACTTATGCTTTGACTTTCATAATAAAATACTTATGCATTAAAATTCCTAATAACAGAGTTATGCATTGAATTAATGCTAGTGAATGAGGGATAAGGGATCATTAATTAAGTGAATTGAGGAATTATCAAACATAGGAATTATAAATATTAAGAGGGGCAAAATAGGAAGTCAAAAGTTTTGACACCTATATTCTCTTTTATAAGTAGTATAGATAGTTGGCGTGTCAAAATAATACAATATTGGAAAAACTTCAGTGCAGGTCCTCATGTATTGCTCAAGTATCATCCGAGTCCTTAATGCCCCAAGTCCTTTTTACAAACTACGTTAAATCTCAACAACATGACAATGATGTGGTAAGAATTAAGAAGCCGATTTACCACTAGCCAACATGAGCAAGGGAAAAGTAAGTCACACGAAAGAGAAGAATGACACTAAGCACTAAACGAAGAAAGGAGTGGAGGTTACGGCTTGCTTTCTTCTTTTCTTACCATAAGCTAGTGATCCAATACCACCAAGCTGTTCACTAAACCAGAACATCAGACAGACCAATTGATGTGAAACAATGTGAATGCAGGTGCAAGATCAGCGACAGCAATGCTTCACCAAATCAACGATCAATCTAGGCAGGAAGTTCAAGAATAAAATGAAACGAACGATGGTTTTTAAGCAAAAGTTACAATGTACTAAGTTTGAACCTTTGTAAAATTATTCCGATAATTAATGTAATGATTTGTTCTCTTAATACAGTTCAATTTGTAATATTTAGATAAGCAGAAATACTCAGCAACAGAATCACTCGCTCACTATTCAAACTGAATACAACATAATCGCAATTGATACTAAGATTGATAATAACATGCACGCAATAGCAATTTCAAAAATACTTGGGCGTAAGAAAATTCAACCTTCGTCGGGTTGGACTGGTTCGATGGGAGGATCCTCTGGAGGCAGTGTAATAACTCCGAATCTGAGTGGCGGGAGTTCCCCTCCGAGAGCTACGTAATTGGGGTGAAGCGGCGTGTCTGGATGAAAACGTCGATGCCAAGAACTAATTTCCAAACGACTCTCCACACTGTTTACAAGCTGATGAGTCACGCGTTCGACGTATTCAGGAACATTCTCGGACGTCCGGTAATCGAACCACGAGGAAAGCTGCAAATCAACAATACCAGTCTCTGGGTCAAGCACGAGATCGTTGTCTTCAGCGTCAGGGTCAGCCATACACTAACGAACTGCGGAATCGAACTCGAAACAATGCAGATTGGGTCTGGACAGGGCCTGGTCTAACTGAACCAGTTCGAGTCTGACCCAAATAAACCACCCAATTTAAGGTGATTTGAACCGAAATAAATCAAACCCAAATATGAAGGCCGGATCTGTTCAAGGCCCTAGATCCAAAACGTTCAGTTCAACTCCAGTCGGAGAAGGAACGTGCGCTGGCGACTCGAGGACAAGGAGCGGTGGCGATCTTCGTCGGGTAGAGCGACGACGGGCGGATCTGGGACGCGATAGAGGCGGGCACTGTCGGAGGTGGAGGAGGTAGGGAAGTTCGACGGTGGTTGTCGAACGGTAGAGGCTGAGGGTGGTGATTAGGGCTTTGGAACTCGGATGGAGATGCAGGCGGCGGTGGAACTACTCGTAGGTGCGCTGTCGACGACAGCGACCTAGCGGTTTCAGGCGGGGGGGGGACGGACGTTCGACGGATATGGCGGCGGCGGCCACGAAGGGCCGCAGTGGGTTGTCGATGCCGTCCGGAGTATCGGAGGATGGCAGAGCGTGGGGAGAGCAGGAGGCCGCGACTGCTGAAGGAAGGAGCGGCGGCGGTTGTTTGAACAGAAAGAGGAACAGGGATCTAGGGTTTCACACCACGTTTCACACGTTCAAACACAGGTAATTGCACTAATTTTCAATAATCTTCATTCGTCTCTTAATTCTGATTACAACTGTTTATATAGAGAATATTACAGAATTTTAAAAACTCAATCAAATCTCTCTCAACCTCATCCAATAACAAACTAAATAACTAACAACAATTCTAATCTGAAACCAACTACTAACTGAAAAATAACTAAAATTTCTAAAGTATCAAACCATATCCCTACGATCTGATGTACGGCTGGAATACGGCGTCTCCTACGCTGATAAATACGGCGAAAGTCCCGTGCACGTGCCTGGATGTCCTCATCACCAATCTATGCCTATATCTAATAGGCCTGTAGTTTCTACTTATTTCAGCGCTAGCGATGTCATTCGCTAAACAGATGTAATCACTCTATTCTATTTTGAAAGAAAGTCTGATGTCGGAAAGCTCTCTTGGGGCGATAGGTTTACTTATAGATAGAATCCGATTCTGGATATGCTGATGGTGAATCTATCTGCGAGTGAAGTCGTTTTGTTGCCGCCGGTAAAACTTGTAATTTCACTAATGTTTTTGTTGACCGGACACACTTCATAGCACTGACACGTCAGTAAGATTTAACACAAGTTTGTAAAAAGGACCTAAATTGAAGACGGAAGTAATGTTGGTTCCCATTGATAACTTCCAAACATAAAGGACCTATAAATGATATTTGGCCGATGCATGAAGGACCTCCACTGAAGTTTTGCGTACAATATTGGTAGGTACAACTAATATTAATCTTTATTATATCTAACTCTGCATATGTTGCTGCTGCTCTTTAGAAGAAGGGGAAAAAAGATAATAATCAAGCAAAATAAGGGACATTTTACTGCAGTAAATTCAGAATTATCCTTAAGGGTGTTTTCAGAAAGTCTTGGCAGAAAGTTTGTCTTAAGCCAAAACTATAAAACCTGATTTTGTTGTGTAGGATACATTTGATTGTTAATTAAAGGTAATAATTTATTCCTTTCCAATTGAGCAGTGAACAGGCTTAATTATACTTGTAGCTGGACTACTTTAACTGAGAAAAGCCTTAATTTGGATAAAATCTTGAAGTAGCTTATGTTTCAGGACTTTGGATTGGAAAAGATGTGCTATTGGACCAAACACAAGATTGTTGTCAGGAGTAGAATGCTACATTTGAGATGGTATAGTACTTGAAATGAAGAGGTAGTAGTTTAACAAGAAACGTATCAGTTGTGTTTGTGTCTGAAATATTTCATGATTTCATCCAGGATGGATTAGGATTACATTAGCAAGAGAAGATTGTTGGAAGGAAAAAAGGTAGTATTTAACGAATTAGGTTGAGGCCTTAGTAATTTAATTTTAGTTAGCTCTACAAGGCATTAAAGCACAAGAAAACGGTTCAGGTGCGGCAACTGGAGCTACAATTTGTAGATGATAGTTGAAGGCAGCTTCTGTGGTTAGGTCTTTACTGGGACTGTAAAACTGTAACGGACAGCTTTCATCATATATACACAGAAAGTGGCAGCATGAAGTAACCTTGAAAGAAACAGCCTGATGCACAAACACATAAAAATGTCAAGTTCATACAAGACTTACCAACAAGTTCACCAAGATGCATCGAAATTGAATTCAGTTGTGCTTTATTTTCATAAAGACGGTTCACAGCTCGTCTTGACCTCACAAGTTCCTTAGCAAGAACCTGCATTAAACAACCACGAATTTAGTGGACAGTTTTGTTCTAAAACACGCACAAAAAATAAAAAAATAAAAAATAAATAAAAAAAAAGAGGAAGAAGAAGAAAAAGAAGAAGGAATAAGGCAATAAATTTCCAGTAACTGGATCTAACAAAATCAAAAATAGATTTCACAGCAGTAATTATGGCGTACATTAGTATAGAATGAAAGTCACATTGACTAAATATTTCGAGCATAAGAATTATTAAAATATTAAAACTTGATATGCCATCTGAAAAGAATGTCAAGAGCTACCAAAAGAGCAATTTCAATAAAAAATGCAGATCTGTAGCACTCGTTTAAAAAATACAAATGAGTGATTCTAAGTTGCAACAGTGTCAGAACCTTGATGACTCAGCAAACTAAACAAGAGGATGTTTAGAAACAAGAAAGTGATTAAAGCAAGTGACAATAGGTTGTCCCATTTCTGAGGTGAAAGCTAGAACTGCTGGATTATAGGAAAGTGAAGGAACAAAAACGTTAAGCAATAAGGAGGTAAAAACAACCATTTCATTTCTCAAGGATTCATTTAATACAAGTATTAGTGGGGGAAAAAATAATCTACGAATATACGTTCATGTCCTCTCGCCCTTTTCTACAGTCTTTACCTGAAATGAGAAATGAGATTTCTCAATTTCTCCATATAATAGAAAGTACTAACTGACTTGTTTAGCGCATAGTCCTGTACAAATATGGGAAATAGCGGAAAGTGACTCCAAGTCCACTTTCACATTTTTCGACAGGGCATTTTCCTGTCTAAGACTCTCTGACAATTTAGCGGGTAACCATTTCTTCTGAAAGTGGGAAGAGCCGGCAAGTAACTTTTATAGATAAAAACATGTCTTCTTGGAGTACTGCCTTTAGAAATACAATAGTAATATTGATACGGGAAACAACTTTGTTACAATACCTGAAAATGGGAGTAACGAAATCCCTTTTATTTATTGTACCTTTCACCATTCTCCCGCTTCCCTCACTATATACTTCCCCACTTGCAATATCAATCTTCTACAGAACGATAGCCAAACTTTTAAAAAGTATTTGGTTACATCCAAGTGATGTTCGAAATAGGAAATGGGGGCACTCCACTCATTTTTTTTCCTTTCTTTTGTAACTTAAGACTTCTTCAAGTAGGGAAGTTGATCGTATCATGTCATATCTATTGTGAAATCAACTGCAGACCAAGAGGTTGAGACTTGTGAGGAAGACAAAAGCAAACCCTAGCCAATAAAATTAATTCTCTCATGTGAACATTACTTGTCATTACCCAGATCAAGCCCTTTGTATGCCAGTACCAAGCGCAGAGACATCAGTCCAAACCCTAGCTATCAAGACTATGAGGAATCAAACTCAGACTACAAGTTTTGACAAATAAATGCATTTATAAAAACTTCACCCTTCACTATATAGCTTCTAAAGACCTAATTTCTCTGTGTTATAAAAATCAAGGGTAGGTTTCCTTATATATAGAAATCTTGAGATAAAAAATGAAGCATCAAATAGAGATCGATCCCACCTTTGCTGAGCCCATGTCGTTGCGTTTGGCCGCATCCTTGATCGCTTTCTCGACGGTCTTCTCCTCTCTCTGAACATCTGCAACAAACAAAATCGCAAGATTTCAAAGGAAAACTCAAGATCAGTCGTCCTTCATCAAATCGACCGAAGGGTGGGAAAAACTGAGCAGGAGAAGGCTCGTTGCCAATAAAAAATAAATAAAAAAAAAGAGGAAGAAGAAGAAAAAGAAGAAGGAATAAGGCAATAAATTTCCAGTAACTGGATCTAACAAAATCAAAAATAGATTTCACAGCAGTAATTATGGCGTACATTAGTATAGAATGAAAGTCACATTGACTAAATATTTCGAGCATAAGAATTATTAAAATATTAAAACTTGATATGCCATCTGAAAAGAATGTCAAGAGCTACCAAAAGAGCAATTTCAATAAAAAATGCAGATCTGTAGCACTCGTTTAAAAAATACAAATGAGTGATTCTAAGTTGCAACAGTGTCAGAACCTTGATGACTCAGCAAACTAAACAAGAGGATGTTTAGAAACAAGAAAGTGATTAAAGCAAGTGACAATAGGTTGTCCCATTTCTGAGGTGAAAGCTAGAACTGCTGGATTATAGGAAAGTGAAGGAACAAAAACGTTAAGCAATAAGGAGGTAAAAACAACCATTTCATTTCTCAAGGATTCATTTAATACAAGTATTAGTGGGGGAAAAAATAATCTACGAATATACGTTCATGTCCTCTCGCCCTTTTCTACAGTCTTTACCTGAAATGAGAAATGAGATTTCTCAATTTCTCCATATAATAGAAAGTACTAACTGACTTGTTTAGCGCATAGTCCTGTACAAATATGGGAAATAGCGGAAAGTGACTCCAAGTCCACTTTCACATTTTTCGACAGGGCATTTTCCTGTCTAAGACTCTCTGACAATTTAGCGGGTAACCATTTCTTCTGAAAGTGGGAAGAGCCGGCAAGTAACTTTTATAGATAAAAACATGTCTTCTTGGAGTACTGCCTTTAGAAATACAATAGTAATATTGATACGGGAAACAACTTTGTTACAATACCTGAAAATGGGAGTAACGAAATCCCTTTTATTTATTGTACCTTTCACCATTCTCCCGCTTCCCTCACTATATACTTCCCCACTTGCAATATCAATCTTCTACAGAACGATAGCCAAACTTTTAAAAAGTATTTGGTTACATCCAAGTGATGTTCGAAATAGGAAATGGGGGCACTCCACTCATTTTTTTTCCTTTCTTTTGTAACTTAAGACTTCTTCAAGTAGGGAAGTTGATCGTATCATGTCATATCTATTGTGAAATCAACTGCAGACCAAGAGGTTGAGACTTGTGAGGAAGACAAAAGCAAACCCTAGCCAATAAAATTAATTCTCTCATGTGAACATTACTTGTCATTACCCAGATCAAGCCCTTTGTATGCCAGTACCAAGCGCAGAGACATCAGTCCAAACCCTAGCTATCAAGACTATGAGGAATCAAACTCAGACTACAAGTTTTGACAAATAAATGCATTTATAAAAACTTCACCCTTCACTATATAGCTTCTAAAGACCTAATTTCTCTGTGTTATAAAAATCAAGGGTAGGTTTCCTTATATATAGAAATCTTGAGATAAAAAATGAAGCATCAAATAGAGATCGATCCCACCTTTGCTGAGCCCATGTCGTTGCGTTTGGCCGCATCCTTGATCGCTTTCTCGACGGTCTTCTCCTCTCTCTGAACATCTGCAACAAACAAAATCGCAAGATTTCAAAGGAAAACTCAAGATCAGTCGTCCTTCATCAAATCGACCGAAGGGTGGGAAAAACTGAGCAGGAGAAGGCTCGTTGCC